CTCTCTCTCTCTCTCTCTCTCTCTCTCTCTCTCTCTCTCTCTCTCTCTCTCGAAAATTCTTGATATTGTATACCAATAACAACTCGACGAAAGCGAAACGAATAGATCGATGGAAATTTATAGCTTAACGTCATTGTCGTATACAGCTTTATCTTCGGCTCTCGATCATCGAAAATATTGGATAAGAACGAGAGATCGAGTTTGAATTTCGAAAATTAAATTCGTTCTCGCGATTCTTCAGGTGGAAGCGTTTGATAGATAACAGAAAGAGTTACTCACGCATTAACACGTTTTCGTGTCAACGATGATGTTGGAAGATGCGAGTATATTAGACAGGTGCTATTTGTTTTGGTCAATTACACGAAGAATGGATTTGCGACTTTTTATCGCAGAATGTCAGATTCTGTGTTTTATGGATGATTAATCGCGTCATGTCGTGTGTTTAAATTGACTCGATATTAAAGTGGTAATTATTTATCATAGATACAGATGTAGATATATATTTTAAATAAAAAAGATACTGATGATTATCTATACGTAACGATCGCTTGCACGTAATATCACGAGCGTGAAAGATTAAAACAGCAAACTTTCTAATAAAAACGTTACGTCTAATCTATTTATTTTCTAGAGAGAGAGAGAGAGAGAGAGAGAAAGAAAAAACAAATTCAGTTCTATTAGCTTTCCAATTTCAATGTCAAACATAAGCTAATGAATAATGAAAACGAAATCTTGACAAGACATTTATATTCGTCTCGTGTGGATTTCCTCGCTTGTTTTTCCAAAGCTCGTGTGTGGTCAGCCGAGGAACGAGCGCGAGACAAACGTGATTCATCGCGACTTTATTTCGCGCGAGAGAGTTTCTGAGCCGTGTCAATGGTCCAAAGTCGATGTACACACCGTCTTCCGTCCTTCTGTTATTTCGTCGAAATCTCGCGTATCCGGAAATATCCGCGTGTCGCAACCAAATTTCTCTGCATCAAGCCACGTCGAAAATAGAAATTACGAATTTGATGGACCCGATACGTATGCGACTTTTGTGGCTAAACACGTGAAGCGACGAATTTAATATTTGCCTCGCAATAAAGATGTGATATGGAGAAGAGCAATGTTCGAAGGGAAGAGCGTGAAATTGAAATTCACGATATTCGTGACGAATATTGAAATATTCGAAATAGAAAATATATGAAAATATATTTTGTTTTTTTTTAATTTTCGAAGCGTTGAAAGTCTGTACGAAATTGTCAGGAAGATTCTTTTTTGTTACGAGTTTTCTACAAAAATTTATAATTTAAAAAAAATAAATTTGGAAAATTTGGAAATTTTTAATCTTCGCTAATTTTTTTTTTTTCTTTTTCTTTAAGTATATTTACAATTTTATTGTTCGAACATGTGTCTTTTAAAAGCCGTTTTTCGTTCTATCGTAATATGTAAATTTAAATTTAATGGGCTGTTACTAAATTTAGTAGAATTGAGGATTTTATATTCCTCTAGGGTTTTCCATACCCAATCCTGGCTTATTTCTACGTGGGTTTAAGCTTTTCAATTTGTAGGATTTTATACATATATTACATTTATATATACGATTCCCAATTGGCTCGAGCTTTCTCTCTTCTATATTTAAATAATAAAATATTTATAACGTTCGTTCAATTTATGAAGAATAATTTAAAATAAATGGTCGAAACGCACGTGAAGAGGGGGAGAAATTACTTTCGTTGCTAGATAGAAACTTTCGTCAAATTAACTTTTCCTTCGATCTCGAGAATCTCTCCATACCTCATCTTTCCAATTCTTAACTAAACGCATTTCGTTATTCTTATTTATTTCATCCTCCTTAATAATTCCACTCCGCGAATTCCGTTCCGACCAATAATTTCTTTATCTCGTCGGCTATAGTACCAACAACAAATATTGCGATCTTCTCGAATCCACCCAACAAGATCCGATACCAAAGATAAATAAACGATTAAATCAACGGATCACGTAAGACACCTACATAAGCCACGTGAAATTGTTAAAACTCCTACATATACACACACACGCGTACACACGTACACACGTATACGTTCCATATCTGTACGCAATCTCCTCTTTCACTTCCTCTCCACGCCCACCAATCGCCTCCATTCGTCCCCCTCTCCGCCCCACGAAGAGAACAATGTTTCCCTTCCCCTCCCTAATGAAAATCGTACACACGTAGAATGGGACAAAAGCTGGGGGAAAATCTGGTGAAACTCGGTGAAACGGTAGCGATAATAGAGGCACAATGGGAAGTCGGTACGGGATCCGTTCCCGATTCGAGTCTCCCGGAATAACTCGGTTGACGAAAATAAACGAAATGGTTTACAGTTTCTCTCTCTCTCTCTCTCTTTCTCTTTCTCTTTCTCTCGACGCAACTCGCTCCTCGTATCCGATTAACAGCCCTTGGCCAAGAAATACCCGAGGGGCCTGCTACGTGACTGGAAACGCGTACGCGTTTTCCATTAGTGCGAATCTAGGGGAAATTTGTCGTTACGTTGCCGCGTGTGGTAACGTTCCATTCGCTCGGTTTTCGAGCAACGCGTAAGGTAAACTTTCGATAATTTGTGTAACGTTCGACGAGAGTTCGTTGATGTGCGATTCATCTAAATTATTATTAACCTCGGTTTCGAATTTTGATCG